TTTGAAGTGTTTGAGCATGAATTTTAGGCATAAGTTTCTAAATGAAGAGATTTCTTCACAGATCACATTAATTTATGGGCAAGAATGTCAGTTCCATTTGACTATAATACAAGGATAACCTGCAGAAGGAAACTTATTGGTGAGGAGGCATCGATAACATGATGGTGACAAGGTTAAGGAAACCAGTAGTTATCTATTGCTTTCCACTCTCCACATTAATTAACTTCATCTTAATATAAAAAGGTACCACCATCCATTTTCAATGCCCAACACACAGATTATAGTTTCTCATACTCTAGTATTTGACTTCATAGCATAGGCATGTCATTCCTCATTTGATGAATTGTATATATGTTGATAGAGAATATAACTTGTATCTTCTTGTTCTTTAATTATGATAAGCTTTTCTTCTCAAGTGGTAACCTAAAAAATATACCAAAAATTATAAAAAAATCCTTTTTTTTCCCTTATCAAAGTTACTGTCTGCTACAAAGATCCAAGTATTTGTTGGTACTTTACATCTTCAGATCCTAAGAGAGTTCTCATCATAGAATGATTGGGTTAGAGAATCTTCCTTAGGTTTAGGCAATTATTCAAGTGCTTATGCATCATAATTTAACAGTTGAAGGACATAAGCTTGGATTTCTATTGAGTTATTTACAGTTTCCAATTACCACTGTCATCATCATAAACCTTTTTGGATAAAATGATCCTTGTGTACAATGATCGAAAGTAGCATAATAATTAATGTTTTTGCTCTCTTTTTGAGATACCTCACATGATTAATCAAAGCTGCTCCACAATGGGGTGTTGTAGATGATAATTAAGCCCATGAGATTGGAGAATGCAACTCCATCCATCATTTCTTCATTCAACAGATGGTGCAAGTCATGCTCTAATCTTTCTCTGAGCCACCAGGGCACATGGCCGGGTCGAGAAGCCTTGCAAAGTCAAGGCGAAAGCTTGAGGAAGAAGAAGGAGATGACGTGAAAAGCCTTGCAAGGTCAAGGAGAAAGCTTGAGGAAGAAGAAGGAGATGATGTTGCCATGGATTGAATAACAAAGCTCAGCATACAGTTCACACTTCAAATCAAAGTAATCAGATAGAAAACAACTCCAGTGATCGAGACGTATGTCACAGATGAGCTGAAACTTCTCATCTTTTTCCCTCAGGTCTGTGATTCGTGAGGTTGTAGTAAATACTTGGGGATACCGCGGAGGAGCAGACCGCGGTGAGGGGACAGAACGTGGGTTGATGCTGACATGGGAAGAGATGATTGGCGGACGGGAAGTGGACAGATCGGATGGGAGCGAGCGGGAATCGATATATTATATATAGGTTGTCAGAGACTTATTGTATGCTTTCTTCATGCTACCGGCAGATGCTGTTGAGTATAAAATGATGTGTGCTTTCTTCATGCTACTGGCTAATCTCACATTGTTGAGTAACATGGTGTTCATTAAGGACATCTTCTTTCTGCTCACTTAATTATATTCATCTCTCTCTCTCTCTCTCTCTCTCTCTCTCTCTCTCTCCATGGCTTTTCTTATGTGTCTATCTTATGTATTGCGAACTTGCACAAGTATATTTATGGAGATACTGCAGATATATGTATATATATGGAGACAGAGATAGATAGCTAGGGAGAGAGAGATGTAAGACTCTTCTTATGTGTCTAGTTTCATTGGTATTTACTGGAAGCATGTTTGTGTGCGAACACAGAGAGAGAGAGAGAGGGAGCTGTGAGGCTCTTCTTTATGTGGGTGTGTTTCTTTAAGGCTCGTCTTTCTGCTGCTCTTTCCTGAATGCTGAAGTGCCAGTGGATCCATACTGCAAACGCACGCAAGGTGGGAGGTTGCAGCCCGGGATTTGCGGGCGGGGAGCGCACTTTGAGTGCAGCATGCGGGACGATGGAGCCATTCCCAATGAGAGTGAGAGTGAGAGTGAGAGTGAGAGTGTGAGAGAGAGAGAGAGAGAGAGAGAGAGAGAGAGAGTGAGAGCAAAGCAGTGGGAGGTGGGGATGAGGTGGGTGTCTGCGGGACATGGCCGACAGGACCACAATGGCGCTGCTGCCTTTAGGCTTGGAGACCGCGCGCACGTGCTGTCCCACACAACCCTCACACGCTTCCCGAGGTGCCGCTCATCCCCTTCATTCCTCGCTTCATCTCTCTCTCTCTCTCTCTCTCGCGCACAGAGAACACAGCCATGGACAGTCGAGAGGGGTGCTGCGTTCCTGCGAACTTAGTACGCTCTTTCTTGTGGTCTTGTGGGTGAGATGGACGTATGAACTCGCTGAAGCAGTCCTCTCTGTCACACACAAAGATATCGATATCTATCAATGCCTATCAGCAGCTCTGCAGTACTGAAAACAGTCTCAGTGGCTCATCTACATCACTACTTCAAACAACACAAGGATTCAAACCCATTCAAACTGAATTCCATTCCTTTCTGTTCATTGTCAATGTCGTAATCCTGTCGGGAACACACATTGTTAATAAGATGAGTTTACGTGGAATACACTAATTAGGCCTAACTATAGTCAACTTGACTCACCAATTCCTTTGTTTACCTTCTTTCATCCACTGACCTTAGCTCTGATATTTTACTGACTTCTGACTTTTAGGATCATGAACCTAAATCAAATTAGTCACTATTATATATTTCCCCTGTAACTAATTATCGTTAGTATTTCGATTCTTATATATTTAAAAATTATATTAGGATCCTTATACTTACGAAAGTAAAATATTTAATTTTATTTTTTCTCACGTCATCGATTTTATTAATGGAAATATCACACATGCTCAGTGATAAGTCGAGGTAAAACAAAATTAGCACGTGCTCAGTGGTAAACTCTGTGATATTTTCATCAACAGAGTCGATGACGTGAGGAGAAACAATGTTAAATATTTCACTATTATAAATATAAGAATCTCAATATGACTTTTGAAAGTAGAATGATCAAAATACTAAATATAGTTAATTATAAGGGATAATGTATAATTAGTCCTAAAAAACTATAATAATATTAGAATACATGATAGTTTTTGAGCTTATATGTTTATTGAACATTTCATAGGTTTTGCATGCACACGTATTTTCACATACAGATATGGATTCCTTGTACATTGATGGTATCCTTGACATAAATTTTCCCTCAAAAAGAGGTAAGAAAGAGGAAGCAATGGATTATCTCAAGTGTCTTAGTCTACACTTCTCTCTAGCTACAAGTTGCCTTCCATGACATCATATGATGTTACCCATAAACTATCATACCTCTTGGTAAAATTTGGTGACAAAGGAAGCTTTCTTATCCAATCCATTCTTCCTTGCGACTCTTCACTTGTTTTCCTTTCTCATGACGACAAAATAGCTAAAGCAGCACACACATTAAACTAATCCAAACCATTAGCAAAGCATTGACTTGTGGGAGAAGAAAGGAACCTAATTCTTTCGAAATTGAGGTGGCAAACCAAACTTTTCTATGCTTTATCAAAGAAGAATACACCTTAATATAATAATTACATGGTGAGCTTCTGATCAAGCAAGCATTAAGCATCTTTCATGGTTGAGAAACATATTGTGGAATGTCCTTAATTCCATACTTATGTAGTCCTTTAGTCACTAATAATATTTGTTTCACGCAACGACGAGACGAATACTACTTCATTTTGTGAAATCTTTGGTTTTTGTTGGACCATAGAGATTTTCAATCGGATGACAAGTAATTTCAAAATCTTAAACTAATATTTCCTTTCACGCACAAACCGTATTATACTTGGTGAATAAAATCGAACCCGAGTAGAGAGAACGATATTGTATCGATATGAATAAAACAACACTTATAACCTAAAAATCTTGAATCTAATAATCAATAAACACAAAATTCAAGCTATTAGGGAAGAACTAGATCTATCTAATTCTTCATCTGCCATTGTGTATGAACTATTTGGTAGACAACTTATCATTTGATAGATTATTACCTTCAAAAGCGACATAATGAGCAGCTACAAAGTTGAACTTTTGATTTGTTTATCCTGCTGTGCTGTAGTTGATCTGTGACCATTGGCAGGATGAGGAGTAATGAGCATGCTGAAGGTGTACAATTATTGCATGTTACTCCCAATTAAATTATCTTGACATTGCACTAAACTATTGGGGAAGCTTAGGCTGCACTACAAGTCTTTGAGCTGAACAACCTGTGAAGAACATTCAAATAATGGAGAAACTTGACAGAAGAGATAATGAGTTGACAGATTAATCCTCAACTAATTATTTATGTTGCTCGATAAGTTAGTTGACATGCATATTTTATGTTGTTTGATTTGCTTTTGAATTTTTAATTAGGGATTATTGTAGATGATGTATTCTTGAGCACATCTTTTTTTAGCATTTTCCCCATGATTAATTGACCATCCCAGTAAAGAAATTATTTTGAACTTGATTAGATCGCTACATAGGTTGAAGTACAACATTCAAAATCTTATCATCAATACTAAAGAAATCATATTGTAAGGAAGGGAAGATATTTGTCTCTGTGGTTGGAGTACATACTCAAGCCTTTATCCTTCATTCAGATTGTAATTTCTCAATCTATTTACAAAGTTTAAACCAACATTTGTTTGCATAAAGATTAAGAACAGACATGTCTAATAAAGTGTTTTTTTGTCTTTCATTCTATTTTCATATTACCAATATTAATTATCTATCATCATCTAATTATAGCATTTTAAATCTCTTTAGAACAAATCCACACTATCGAAAACTATATCAGATCTCATGAATATAATTTTAAACCGGTTTCTAAGTATTCATAGCGAAAAATTGTAACTAAGTACTAAGAAAGTCTACTGTCCTTTGAAGCTCAAATATCCCAAATAAAGCCAAACAAAGTGATCTTATTTGATAGATGGTGAGTGATAAAAGCAAGTGAGCCCTCCACCCTATCATCAAAGAGATAAAAACACAGGTAAACCCTAGCCAAAGGCTCCTCACTGCAAGCCAATCCATGCATCCTATGCTGAATTCTTCCACCAAACGCCAACTTTTCTCAACAAGTTATCCATCCATGCATGGTAGAGTGAGAAACACTTTGGTGCCCACTCTTCCTCCTCTCTTATCAACCCTGAACCTTAATCCCTCAATAAATGCTTCCTTCTAAAGTCTGCACCACCCTCTTTGTCTTGATCCAAATCCAAACACCTTTAAATTATTCCTCCCCCACAAACATCCACATCTCCATCACATTATGTCACACATCTCTTCATGCCCCACCACTCTTTCATGTCACACATTTCTTCTCCCCAGATCCTTTTCACCTCATCAAAGTCTAAGCATCCTCTCCACCCTTCTCTCCCTGTTCTGTCTTCTGAGTAGGAGAAGCTCCGAGCTCTCCCTCTTCTTGTTCTCTTGCACTCACTACTCATTTCTATATTTCCTCCACTTTCATAGCTAGCCTTCCATCTTCTTCTCTCTTCCTCATCACCTTCTTATTCTTCTTCATCCTTATTCACATAAAGATTTGTATTTTACTCACAAAAATCTATTTTTAATTTAGTTTTCCATCCCATCACCTTTATTTTGGTGTAATTTTCTACCAAATACCTTATTTTTTGGTCTTCCCCGCATGGCGGGGCTCGATCTCGGCACTGCCTCCCGCTTCGTCCACCCTCTTCACCTCCACCTTCCTCACACGAAGCCGGACTCCGACGACTCCCCTGTCGCCACTGACGAGGCCGCCAACCATGGGCTGGAGCTGTCCGCCCCAGCCGGACCCGGGGACGTCATCGGCCGCAGGCCCCGGGGCCGCCCCCCGGGCTCCAAGAACAAGCCGAAGCCGCCGGTGATCATAACCCGAGAGAGCGCCAACGCCCTGCGCGCGCACATACTGGAGGTCGGCAGCGGCTGCGACGTCTTCGAGTGCCTCTCCACGTACGCCCGCCGCCGGCAGCGCGGGGTCTGCGTGCTCAGCGGCAGCGGGACCGTCGCCAACGTGAGCCTCCGCCAGCCCGCCGGCTCGCCCGTTGCCACCCTGCAGGGCCGCTTCGAGATCCTGTCCCTCTCGGGCTCTTTCCTCCCGCCGCCAGCACCGCCGGGGGCGACCAGCCTCGCGGTCTTCCTGGCCGGCGGCCAGGGGCAGGTGGTCGGGGGGAGCGTCGTCGGGGCGCTAATCGCGGCGGGGTCCGTGACGGTGATCGCGGCGTCGTTCACCAACGTCGCCTATGAGAGACTGCCGTTGGACGAGGAGGAGGAGGAGGCGGCCGCCGCGACGCAGCAGCTCCAGATGCACCCGCCAGCGTCACAGAGCCCAAGCGGCGGCGGAGGTGGGACAAGTGGTGCCCTCGGCCCTTCCTTCACGGACCCGTCGTCGGGGCTGCCGTTCTTCAATTTGCCGCTCAACATGCCGCAGCTGCCGGTGGACGGGCACGGCGGGTGGCACGGGAGTGCCGCCGCTGCAGCCCGACCGCCATACTGATCGGGGATCCAAACCGTGGCAGAAGAAAGAAAAGGTTAGACATGAATCCATGAGGATGCATCATCTCCATGTACACAATTAGCCCGTCTCTGAGAACTCTCTCATCTTACTCATGCTGTTTCCTTACCTTCTATCTTGGTCTCCCTCTCATGTGTTCATCTCCCCTCAGCTTTGGGTTGAAGACTGCTACTGCTATTGAAGCATCGATTTTACTTCTCTTTCTATCACTGATCTACCTCTTCCTTTTATCTACAGGTTTGTGAGAAGTTATTGAATTGATGCAAGTAAACATTTTTCTTATAGCAAAGAAAAGTAACTTTCAATCTCACTATTTTGCTCTTTTATTTGGTTGGGGGGGATGCAATATGATTCCACCATCTGGATCTAGGCATCTACTTGAAGTTGAATGTGGGTTGTAGAGTAGATTTAAGGTTCCAAATCTTTTGTTGTTGGAGTAATGAAGGTGCATAGGAACAACAAGAGATGGAGGGTGTAGAGAGAGAAAGAGAGGAGTAGGTCTCTTAAACCTATATAACACAGTCTTCCTGTCGCAGCTCTTTTTGGCCGGTTTCAAGTTCCCTTTTTGGAGATAAAATGATAATGATACAGCACTGTAGTAGATATCTTGGAAATTGTCTTCTCTTCTGTGGCAGGTACTGTCTTCACTATTTCTTTTTGCTTGTTCTTGTTTTGTTTGTTTCAGCAATAATAAGCATAATTCTACTGCAAGACAAACTGATCATTTTCACTAAGTTTGATACTTCTGGCCATGTTTTGCTTAAGATTGTTGCCTCAGAGTGATGCAACTTAATTGTTCATTGGCTTTGTGATGTTTATTCTAAAAATTGTTATACTTAATTGTAAACAACATTAAATGACAGGTCTATATTAATCTAAATAATTATTAGTAAAGAAATAATGAATGAAGAATGCTTACTGCATGACTTCAGCACATCTTGTTGAAGGTCTAAACAAGCTTATTGCAAATGCCAAAGAAAAGGCTTATCTCTTTCACTCTTCTTGATTGTAAAATGTAGCAATGCATTGTAACTCTGAGCATAATAAATTGGCTCTATGTTGTGCTAACCTCTCACAGTTTCTTCTCCTTTGGTTTTCTTCCTCTCTCTTTTCTCCATCACTGTGGGTTTTGTTTGTTCTTCCATTGGAACAAGAAAGAATGGAGCCTATGTGATTAGCATCGACCTAATCACAAATGATAAACATGTTTTGTGTTATTTTATAATTATAGGACCTTGAATATGTTTATGTTTCTTTGTTCATTCATTTGTCACTCGTCGATAAGGTAATCTTTGGCTTCAATGTATGAGTTTGATGTATGATCTAATACTACAATAGGTTCTCAAACTGGACAATTGTATTCTCAAGAACTTTGTTCTTGAACATGTTTTTTATTGGTTTAATATGAGTCATGACCCAAATAAATAATCACTCTTATGCGATTGTAAATTTAGATCTACCAGTAGAAATACTGCCAGCCAAAACATTAGTCAGGCTGAAGTTTGATCTGTGAAGTTAATCACAAGAACAATAGATAGAAACTACTGGTTTATTTTCTGGATCAGAACTCAACAAGTTGCAGTCATTATCATCATCTATTCTTTTTCTTTGTTCTTGGTGTGCCAAGAAAACCTACCAAGAGGATTTAGTCAAGGTCAGATGTGATTATTCTGGCAATCATGGCTACAAGGAAAGTATATGCATGCTATAACTTGTTTCAACTAACAAGTTTTGATCCACAACTTAAGTATACTTCAAGAAAAAGTGAAACATACTTCAAGTTTTCTTGGATTTGTGGGTCTGTGTGTCACACAAACCAAGCTGGAGGATTCTCAAGTCAGTGACATCTGATCACTGAGCAAATTATGAACCTAAAATGATGTCTTTCCATGACAAATCAGATGGTTAATTCTCCATGTGATTTTTGATAGACATATTAATTGCTAATAACTCTTTAAAACATCATCATGCTTGTCTTATCATTTTTCTTCAGTACATTATAGCCAAATTCCTTGGTTGTTAACTAAGCTTTTTTCTGGGATATATATGTTTATTACTTTTAATGGATATCAGACTATTGATAAGTTCATTATTTTCACACTCTAACATGCAAGTTTGACATGAAAGGTTATGTTTGGTGATTATGAGTTAATTTATGTGATGAAAGAAGAAACACAAAGTAACTTTCATGAAAACCCCAAGTAAATTAAAATAAGAAAAAGAAGATCTTCTCACCATCATACTAAACCAATAGGTATAATATTAATTCTTGAAGATTTTTTAACAATAATTAAATTGATAATGTGACTACTAGTGTTTCGTTATGAAGAATGCAAATCTTTTTAGGTGGTTATAAGCCTCTAAAAGATTTATATATTCTTTGGAAAACTAAAATTTATAATATAAGATTTGAAGTCTTTAAATCTCATTTTGTTCTCCTAATATAATTCCTTAGTTACTTAATATTTAAAAAAAATGACAAAGATGAGATTGAAGTTCAGAATATTACGACCTTTAGTCAAACCAATATTTAAAGTGTATCTAATGATAATTAATTTTTTTTAACTTTAATACTATTGATACTTAAATCGAGAGGTAATCAAAGGAATCAAGAGGGATATATAAGACATAATGATATTATTCCTAAAATCTATTGATACTTAATTGGATGGGAATATGCTATTTTATTAGGCTTGTCTATTTATTTATTTTACTTGGATATTGTCACAAAATCAGATATAAGCTTTTTCATTTTGCATGAAGAAAATATATGTTGCACGTATGATGCAAAAAACAATAATAAAATCGAAAATTTCCAACTATCCGACATCGATTCTTTTACCACCAAAAAGTAGGATGGTAAATTGTTCTTGTCCCAACACTATCTAAATCTAAATCTAAATCCAGGGAACAATATGTGAATCCAAATCTTTCCTTCCAATAGAACCATTATTCTTAGCTTCAGTACTTACCTGCCACTGGTTTTGTTCACGCGACGATCTCCAGCTTCAGGAAGTGAGTCGTGATCTCCTTGTGAGGCAGAACCGAGACTCCATCGAGGAACACCGTCTCCTTCACGTGCACGTCCTTTCCGAGCACAGCCATGCGGCTCACCTGCGCCGACCCGCCGATGGTCGAGTGCCACCCGATGATGCTACCCGAAACGTGAGCGGAACTCTTCACTCTCACCCCCTTCATCAGCGTGCACGACGACAGTCTCACCCCAGGCTCGATCACGCAGCCCGGTCCCACGACCACGTCCGGCCCCCGATCGAATATTCTTCCCCCACCTTCGCACTGCCGCCCACCAGCACTTTCCCGATAATGTACTGCCCTGCAGCGAGCGGCGACGGAGAATGCCGTTTCACGTAGTCTAGGCAGAATCTTGAGACCTGCGAGGTAGTCCTTGGGCTGTCCCATGTCCATCCAGAAATCCGGCATGAACCATGGCGTACAGGCCTCCCTCGCAGCAATGGATGGAAAGACTTGCCGTTCCAACAACCTCAGCCGCGGCAAAACACGACTGAGAACGTCGATGCTCGGCAGGTAGATGCCAGCATCGATTCTGTTGCCGACGAACACCGGTGGCTTCTCGACGAACTCCTTGACTTGCCCGGATTCCTCATCCAGGAGCACCACCCCGTACTTAGATGGTTCGGCAACCTGGCCATGTAGTGTCAGACATCAGCAATACCTTCAAGATCATCATTAGTCTCGAGATGAATGCATCAAGTACCTTGGTCACCATGATCGATGCTTCTCCACCATGAGCCTGGTGAAAACTAAGCACCTCTTTCAATGGGTACTCGCATACGATGTCACTGTTGAGCAGAAAGAAGGGCTTGTCAGGCTCCCCCAAGCAGCTTCTCCTTGGCAAGAGCCAGTGGACCTGCAGTGCCCAAAGGCTCAGTTTCTCGAGAACAGGTTATCTTGATCCCAAGCTTCGATTCAAACTCTTTCAGAAAGCTCATCATCACCTACCCAAATCCACTACAATTTTTGGTTGGAGGGGGAACAGAAAGAACTTGATACATAGCTATGTATTCAGATTTGCTCGCCTGTGGCTGGTAATTGATGGCCAAGATAACTTCAGTCACCCCGACAGCTTTAGAGCTTCAATCTGATCAACAGCATCTACAGAGTCAATTCTTCAGATACACAAAAGATGACAAGAAGGCATGTGTAGTGACAAACCTGGTGCAAGATCAGAAGTGACTTGGGCATGCTCAGAGTCAATGGCTTCAGGCTGGTCTCAAAGCCTCCAACAAGTACGAGTGCCTTCATGGTGGGTAACCCAGAGATGCTTCCCCTGTCCAAACCAGTTGAGTTGGTTCAGAGTGTTAGCTTCAAAGACGAAGCAAGGAAGCACTGTGTTTCTGGCTTTAGGATCTTTAAGATCTTTAAGCAAGCTCTGATGGGCAGGTGTGCAAGTTGACCAGTAATGGACTAATGCATCTTCACCAGGTTGAAGATGGGATGAGATGAAGGAGATGGCTGCCTGTGGTTGTCTTGCAACAATGACAAAGAAAGGGAAAAGAAATTAAAGCATTCCATGTTTCAAGAAAGAGTATAACAGCTGAGACTCAACCACTTCTGATTTAAATGTCTAACATAATGTCAAGCACACCCATAAGGAAGAACAATCCAACCCCGTAGGCTAACAATGTATAACATGGGGAGTTCACCAACTCACTGATAAAGGAGCAAGTCACTGCCAGACCTATACACCTTATAAAAGCAATTCCAAAGCATGTCTTCTAGTGAAATGGTCATCAACCAACAACAATATCACAAACAGGTACTGTGCATAAGCCTAACCATGGATACTATAAGAATCATATATGTCCTGTAAGAAGGAATCAAAATTATCTATCTAATAAGAAACCAAACTCATATTTTCCACCACAGGAGAATAGCAATTTTCTAACCACCGTGAAATAATTTCTAAGGTAACCAAAATTTCCAGTCGAAAACAACATCAGAAATGATGATTTCTTTTACAACCTTACATCGTTCCCCATGGCTATTCAACCCTGTTACATAGGAAAAATTGATCGAGTAGGAACGATATGCACCTCGAGTAGCTGTAAAACAACGAGCTTTACACTCCGCGACCAATCCAATCCAGGACCCCATCAAATCCAGGACCCCAAACTCTCAATAAAGGGTACCGTCCACAACAGAATCCAAGAACACCAGTGAAACCGGAACCAACAGGGAAAGCCTCGCTTTGCAGGATCAAAGAAGAACAAGAGGGTCGCTCGATCGGCCTCCGAACTCCAAAAAGATTCAAGATTTACTTGGATGAGCTAGGATTAAACCCTAGGGTTTACCACAGGAGTAACGTGAGACTATTTCCATAATCGAATCCCATTTCCAGTTGAAACCAACATTAAAAATGCCGTTTTCCCAACCTTACGGCGCTCCCCATGGCTATTCAAACCTTATTACATCAGAAAAGTCGATCGAGTAGGAACGATACGCATACCCTCCGGGACGCATAAAATGCAGAACCCCAAGCTCAAAACCAAGAATACCGTCCAAAATAACGGAAAAGAACACCAGCGAAACCGGAATCAATCGGAAGCGCCTCACCTTGCGGGATCAAAGAAGAACGAGAGGGGCGCTGGATCGGCCTCCGGACTCCAAAAGATTCAAGATAGGGTTTACCAGGGCGAGATTTATTCCCCCAAATCAGGGAAGGGGAAGTAAAGGTTGCCATTCGGCGATGCACACGAGAAACCACCGTTGTTGACCGTACACGTGTGTGATTCGTTGCATAAACGGCATAACGACCCCATGCGTTTCAAAAAGAGGGCGTTGCCGCCACTTAATTCTTTTACATATACACCCCCACCCAGTGAGAAATGTTAGAAAAACCCCTCAAAGAATGTGTATCAAAGCCATTTATTCTTAGTATTTTTCTGTTTACACTCCTACAAAGAGAGATATTTCAGAAAGACCCCTCGAAATGTGTATTAGTGCTACTTAGTTGGGTTTTTTTTTTATCTTTTTGCATATACGCCCCTATCAAAGTGAATAACTTCAGAAGCACTCCTTCAAATAGTTTCCAAGACTTTTGGGTTTTTTCACATATCTACCCCTATAAAGTTAGAAATTTAGAAACATCCCTTCAGGTCTTGCAGATGTTCCATGATTTCTGGACTCAGAAATGATAGTGATGTATGATCCAATCATTAATGAGCATAAGCTTTGGTGAATATTTTGGTGTCAAGTAAGACCATCAAGATTGCATGTCAAGAGAAAACATATTCACACAATCACTATTGTCTCCTATATGATATAATTCTTGGACAGAAATAACATTAATAAAAAGCTTATATCATTGAGATGAAAATGTTGAGTTCAATATACAGAATTATTAAAAAATAAAAAAATAAATATTTTTATTCATGAATAATTAGATATCATATTCGATAAAGGATAAGATGCGACAATGTTATAGAGATATAGATGAAACTATGAATATTAATAATTCAAGAAAAGATAGAGAAGACATAAAAGCAGGGTCTGTCGTACCGAGTCGTACCGCCCGGTACGGGCGGTACGTACCGGTCCGACAGGTTTTCGGTACGCGGACCGACTGTTATCGTTCCGAGGTACTGTAGCATTGTAGTAGTGCTACAGTACTCGGTACACCTGGGTGTATCGCTCGGTATACCGTACCGTACCGGTACCGAGCCTAGGTCGAAATATCGGTATGGTACGGTATTGCGAACCTTGCATAAAAGTATCTTATTCGAAGCTATAAATAAAATTTTAAATATTTTTAATTTAATTAATAATATTTTTTTTTATAAAAATTCAGTGATGACAAAAGATACACAGTTTGTTTATGGGTTCTTAGATCTATAAGATCAATCCAACTTGCAGTGTCATCAAGAAGTCTAACTTGTTCATGAAGGTATAATAAGATGACACCAAGGCTGCAATTTATGGTTTCTTGCTGCCTCTGTTTCACTAATCCAATAGTCTTTCCACTGGAAAGATTACTTCATTATCAATAAGCTAGATTCTAGTGTGCCTAAGATCAAATAAGACTCATGTTTCTCAATAACAGAAAGAAAGTTTTCAATCCTGTCTAGAATATGATGAATTATCTTTACTAGAAATGGAGGATGAAGATGCTTGTGATAAAAAGATTAATGATCCAGAAGAAGAGTGACATGGAGAATTTGTCTTGTTAGAAGACAAATAAGGAAAGAATGAGCATCCTGAGATTATCACCTGCATTTTTTTTCTGGAGTGATGAGATATATTTGCTACCTATCAAAATCCAAGTCCTCAAAGACGCATGCAATGCTGATCGAATATTATTATTACATTCAAGTGTATAAAACAAGCGACTAGATACAAAGATCCAGGAAAAATATTCCAAAATATTGTTCATTACATACCCGAAAAAACCTGACCAACCACTGCAAACTAGCAATATCAGCATTTCAAGACAAAAACAACAGTTTGTACGATTGTCTTCGCACGTCAAGCAATACAAAAACCATGTATTGTGGGCACTAACATGAAGCTCTATAATTTCTTGGTGCAAAGAAGATGCAGAGACCACTATCCTCGCGTGGGGAAAGCGAAATTGCCACAGCAAAATCTGAAGGATGAACAATAATAGGACAGTGATTGCCGATACTCTTGTCTCCAGAATTTCAGCTACTAGGTTTCTGTTCAGTGCTTGGTAAAGCCTGTCAAATAATAAACATCAAGCATTGCAGATTTATCCACTTTATGAAATGCTACATGAACGTATCAATATTTTAACTAGAAATGCCACTGAGAGTAGTCGCAGAAAAGATGTTGAGGTAGAATGTTAATGCATTTCCATGAATACTCACTCACCCCAACTGAAGTCACAAAACTGCAAACTGCACACTTCACGGATCTTGCTCCGTATTGGTACATCAACAGCATATGGCAGCTTCCACAGTTGACATGTGCTACCTGATTTGCTGCAACCAAACATGTAAAATTTGTGAACTTCGCGCATAGAAATACATGATCGTACATAAGTTGTTTGTCTTACATGTGCACAAGTGCTTGTTAATCCTGTAATCTTGGATTATCTAGGATTCCTATATTTGTTAATCTTTAACAAAAATTATGTGAATGGAAGTATGATTTTCCAAGTCTATCATTACATGAAAGATAAAAAGATGGATAGAAAAGCAAATGCAGATTATGAGATTTGTTGGAACCTTGATCAACAGTTACCATCTTCTAAAGAAGTTTTCTTTCATTGGTCGGTGTGAATAAGATTTAATGACACAATTCTAACCATTCAGATGAAAGGGATGGGTTCAAACAGCAGGTGTTTCTAAGGATTTCGAGCGTCTCAACAGTATCATGCCGTCTATTCAATAAGCCTTTTGTGTGTCTTGTTGCAGGTTCGAACCCAATTGGCATTTGGACCTGATTATGATATCCATTAATGCAACATCATGGAATACTGAACCAAACGCACCAGTTGGCTATTCCTAGTTATATGATTGGTCCAATAGTGTTTGCTCTGTCCATTACTCATAATATGTTTTGTTCTGAGTGATGATAAGCAATACGTGGTTTCTTTTCTTTTTTTTGCATCTAGTTTCCTATACATAAAAGAGGTAAATTTTCATAATGATCAGTTCTAGTTTCTTTTTTTCATCTTTTTTTGGTGAATAGAGTGATTCGACAGCAGAGTTTTGAATTATTTTGTCACCTTCCAAAGCCAGGTTAACTGTGTGACAGCAAGAACATTGTACGCTAGTTGCTCCACGTATGAACATCAAAAGTGTGTGACATCCTCCACAAATTAACTGAGCCATTTCTGTACCTGTAGCAAATACGAGAGTAGTTGTAAATAAATCAAATCCTTTAATGATGTCAGAAACAAAAACAAATACTGGGAACAAAGAAAACTAGGCATCATCTAAGTTTTCTCTTAGCTCCACTCTTTTGTCAGACTTACGACAGACACCTTAGGTTGATCCTATATCAAAAGCAGTATAAACCATGTTTCTCTTGATAATGATGGTAATAGTTCCCATAATTTTCTTGGATCAACTAACCAACTTGTCAGTCAGAAGTTTGCATATAAGATCTATGAAAAGGCTTCTTCTATCTTTTATCTGATTCTGTGTTCAAGGTAGCTGCTAAGATAAAGGGGGAAGTACCTGGCGGAGGCACAGCTGTTACTGCACTGCAAACAGCACAGCATACTGATGTTGCCCCTAGAGGATAGAGAAGGAGATTTCTGCATCCTGAGCACACAAGTTGGCTTTGTCCACCTGAGAATTAAATGAACCATTTAGTTGTGTAATAATCAAGATATCTTTGTGATCAACTGAAGAATCCCAAATTTAGCAGGCTAATATACCAAATAGCAGTAACAAGAGAATAAACCATGTGGTTGTTCCTTCAGCTAAGACCTTTTAATGTGTTTTCAGTGGCAAAGTAATCAAAACTAATGGTCATTCAACACTTGCTGAAAGCTGATACAAATTATGATGCATAAACATGAAATAGTTCATGAAAGAATCATATTTTCAGCATCAAATGAAGTGAACACCCGACTAGAGAAACTCAGGTAAAATGTTTTTGTCTACTTCTCGATGCTAAAGAACAGAGAAGAAAACAAATACTTCTGCTAGTGGCATTCTCATGGCAAAAAATGCTGGTTACTCTCAACATCACTAGGTTGAGAGACCTTAAAATGTTAATGCACTTGTTATTCATACATTGTGACTTTCTAAAAGGAAAATGTAGCGATTCTTTATTTGGTCTTCAGCTTCACTTAATACCGGCAAGCTTGAAAATTCATAAATCTCAATAAATTGTGGAGTTAAAAGTGTTCCAACCCAATTTCAAAGTCATCGTTTCAAACTCTACAAGCTACTAATTTTATTTAGGTTCCAAGACCATGTCAATGTTTACTCTATTCTCTATTGCAACTGTTAGAGTGCATCAGAAGAACTTAAATATCTTCCAACAAATTTGCAGCCACAACTCATTGATTCAAACTAGAACAAGATTCAAGGACAGCAGATACCATTTGGGGGTGTGAATGGTACAGGAGGTGTTGGATATGGGACAAGAGGAACTGGCATTTCGGGTTTGTGCCTTATCCTTCTTCCCAGCACTGTGTCTTCCTTCAGCATCAGGCAGAGGTTCGCACTCCCATCACCAATCTGTGTCAAAAAGGAAGGATTTTTATTCATGTTCCCCTTTAAAGGGAACCAAAAAGGGAGAATCGAAAGCTGTAGCAATCTTCTAAATCCAACAATTTCCATCAAGGCCATTGTTGACATGTACTCAATCCCCACATGAATCGGTCACAAGCACAACAAAATCAACATCAGTGAAGCACCTTCCTGTTATCCTTACCCTTTGGCTGCTGGAGGAAGACGGTGGATTGTTGGTGGTGGTGGTGGAAACTCTGCAGCCTATTTATGCGGGTGAATCCAGCAGGGATGGTGGCGTCTCAGCGTCATTTGCTGCTCCAAGTGCAGTGTTTGGGGCTGTTCATTCAATGAGAGCTCCCGGGGCATATCGAGCGGCCCCAAGCACGTGAGCTCCACGCACCGGGGAACTGGCGGCGGAGGGAGCTCCGCGTGTGCCGTTACTGCAGTCAGCACGGCAGCAAGCGGCGCGGCAGTGAAGCGGGGCCCGCTTTCTCGTCCTCGTGTGCTTCCCTTTCCTGTCGTCGCCGAGTCGGCTATTCTTTACAGTTCACCCAAAACTGTTCTCGTTCCACGTGGCCGTATACCAACCCCGGACGCCTGTGGGGTCCGGCAGATGGGGCGTGTTACGTGTTACCCACGCGGCTCACAGAAACTGGTTCGTACGTGTCGGTCCCACGGGTTAGATCGGCATCGGTGTCGATCATTATTGTACGGAACGGTTGGTCCGATCCAACCGACGAAGGGTTACACGTAGATATACGATGTCATGTGATGCCTCCTCAGAGATGAAGATGAGTTAGTGACAAGTGAAATGTGCCGTCAAACATATTTCTTTGGATTCGAGATATATTGTAATAATAAATTAATTACTATAATGAAAAAAATAGTAATAATAATACTTTACTAGTATTTATAAGTGAACGTGTGGATGTGTTTATACATAGGATCGAATAAATATAATAGAATAATAATAATACTTTACTAGTATTAGAATTAAACGAACTTATATGAGTTTAAAATGATCATAATTAATTAATCTAATAGTTAGTTTTATCTCTGAGTCATATATAATCATTTAAGGACTTACAAAAGAGAAGACGAGCAGGAGGAAATATTTAATTCATGATCCACAAATAATAATTTTAATAAATACTTGATAGATAATGTAAATTATAAACATAGTCTTTGCAAGATCAAAATGAAGTCATACCTTTGTGATATCATAGCGTTACCATGCTTATGGTCATACTATCCGTTGTCTTGCATCTGCTTCTCTTTCTTCATGTCTCTACGATACCGTGACACTCCTCTAGGTCCACCTCCATTTTGATCGATATTTGGTTTTAGGTAACTTAGTCCCTGAACTCGTCGCTTCATCGCCCCTTTCGACCACTTACTTCAATACATTTGTGTTCTGCAAGCAGTTTCCCTTGTTTAATGGAAAGACATACTACAATTCTCATGCATGGTCTCCGCTATCATGTTATAAGGCTCATGTCGATTATATTCTCCTTTACGTCCTTGGTAGCAACGTTCGTTCGCTTGGTCTTGTTCCCTGACTTACCAGGCTCCCTTAAGCGAATATGAGCCCTAGAGTAGCCCAATTCCCTCAAGCGATTATACTTCTACACGATCTGATCTTCTCTGATGGGACTCACTGATACATACACTTGAAATTCCTCCTCGATGGTACATAGCTCCCCCTCCCCCCATATGCTAATGACCAAGACTTTCGTTCGATGCAAAATTTGATGCACACATAGAAGAGCGGTATATATGGTACTATGACATTCACTCCTTGAATCAATAATCCTTTTTACCATCGTATTGTTCACCGAAGTAGAGCTCTCAATAACTCCTAATTATACCTTCATATAATTCTCTCGTGAGACTTCTCCATATTGTATTGCCTCCAACTGTTTTACAATGATCTACTGCACCATGTCGCCTCCTTATAACATTCATTGTATTTTAATTTTTGTGGAATGAACTCGGACTATAATCTCTCAATATATAACCTTTGCTACCTCATCGTAAGGTTTTTGTTATCTCTAATTGTGTTTATTCCTTTGGCAATCGACATTCGTTTGTCCGCTCTCGAGTCACACTTGGATAAAGTAGATCTCTAGGATAGTCTGTTGCTTAGCAACTCTTGAAGTCAACTGACTTTACTACAATTGGTGTATCATTATCTAGATCCTGGGCCCTTACCTCCAGTACAATCTTTATTATACATTGCTTCCTTCACAGTAAGTTAAATGACAGCACTAAAGCATATTCTTCAAAATTACCCATAGTCATATCCTCTTGCCTTGTGCCAAAGCCTTTTGATCCTAACTTCGCATCCGTAAGTTGAGTCACCTTAGTTCCTCTATCAAATCCTTCACCGAGATAATGTGTATATGCTTCGAAACTCCCTTCAATTATGGTACCATGCAATATAAGTTTGCTTCATCATGTCCTTGACCTTTGTCCATGGAAGGATTTGTGCCTCAGCTCGATATTTCATCTTATATATTGACTCCTTTTATATGACATGAGCACATCACCAAGTTCCACCCTAATTTCTCTATTCCTCAATTTTCATTGAATTGATGGTGGCTCTCACGCCTACCATTCTATGAGTCAACTCTATGTTGAGTCCAATATCCATATCGAGTGTAAGTGTGTCTTCATTTGGTATTACCTTAGGTCATTCCGTCACGTAATCTCTACCACTTGGGTACCTCATGTGAGATCATATAATGATTCCTCACCTCTCGCTTGGTCTATTAAGATTATGAAGCTGTTGTATAGAAATACCTCCTCAATATATATGGTCTGTTGTACATGATTCACTATTTTGAAAGACTTATCTCTCTTGGATATTTATCTCATTAATATAATTTTTTTCTTTACATCCTTCACTCTGAAATTTTCAAAGACCACTATTGCCTTAGACTACTCTGCCTTGCTGAACAAATGGTGTATTATTCCACCCTCATGAACGCACTTGCTAGATTATGACTATTTACCAATACAGCTTTCACTATACCCATCAAAGCCTAGCAACATGTTGAACTTGCTACACACTTTAGCCTCCTACAGACATATCTTTCTCATATCGAAAAGAAAGTTCTAATGCTCTATAATGTCGAGTTTTAGTTGTCTAGGGATGGCCACAGATAATCCATCATCCACGTACAAGCCCTTGCATAAGTATCGAATTCTTCGAGTTAGTAATTTTCCTCACCTCTATGAGCTTTGCATAACTCTTTCAATCGCCAAGCAACACATCCCTCCTTGCACGGTCTCATCGTTTGCTAAGCGCCTTGCATGCCTTGAGCACCGTCAAATTTGATTGTCAATGTTAAGCAATAGCTTAAACTCATCCAACCCAACCTTTGTGCATTATACGTTCTTCCCAGTTCACTTGTCCTCGTGATGCCTCTTACATAAAGAGTTGGTTATTCCTCTAAATGTTAGCCTCGGAAGCCCACTCCTTTGAGAGACTCTTTTCCCTACATCCCAATGTTTGTTTCTCTCAAACAGTCGCATGTGTTAGCTGCCCACAATATAACCCTGCTAGGTCACTCACATTTGCATGCTAAGTGTTTTTAAATGTACTTATCCCACTTTGATATTATTTATCACGGACTTAGTTGATTTTGCCTAAATTATACGGCACTATTGCATATCCGTCCACAAAGGGTTAGCCAACCTAAAATTTTTTATGATCTCTTAAGGATCTATAAAAAAGAAGACAAGTTAGAGAAAGTATTTAACTTGTGATTTTATAAGTAATCATTTCAGCAAATAGAGTAATGAGTAATGTAAATTACAAACATAAGCTTTGTAGTCTCCAAACAGTCGCATGATAAAAGGTCTATGGTGGCCCACCGCGATCAAAAGTCATCACAAGTGCCTACATGACACTATTGTAAAACAAGACAACGAATTAGCCATATGCCACCTAGATAGCTTTTGGGGATTGTGGTAACATTCTGAATAACTCTATGAAGCTAGAAAACCCTTAAACTAGCTTTTTGAATGACTTATTTTTGGGTAGTTTTATCTCTGTACAACGACTAATAACATATATTTATAAGCATGAAAATAAATGTCTAATCAAGCTATCAAATCTATTACAAATCTTTTACACGTGCAAAACATGAATAAAATCGAACACACTAAAAATTATATCAAACACCCTATTTATAATTTTATCCATAATAATATAATACCCTTATATATATATATATATATATATATATATATATATATATATATATATATATATATATATATGCTCATAAAAAAATTATAAAAAAAAAAAGAGTAAGTGGCGAACGAACATACAAGGAAATCGCTACCATCTTAAATTTTGAATTCCACAAGCATAATAGAGTTATAACACTGTATTGATATTGAAATTAGATAAATTTGTAAGCTGTCTTCTTATAGTTTAATATAGATCGGATCACTTTCTAATAGCCCAAAGTTATCGGGTGTCGATGGAAATCTTTACCTTGTATTAGAGCATGTCATGAGTTCATCAGATGTTTAATTAATATCAGATTGAATGTAAAACTCGGTATCGGCATTCAATTCTAATCGTAATTTAGAATTGGATTTTATGTGGACAGTAATAATGGGATCCTTAGAATAGCCATTGTAGCCATTGGTTGAGAGCATATACCAAAGAATTGTACCGAGTGACTTTGACTTCACTGATTCATGCAACCTCCAAATCACATCATCCATCTCCATCCAACGCTGATTGCATCAATTGGGGTGGTGTTTGGGCCTCAAAGATTGACAAAGCCATTGGCGTCGATTTCAAGTTAAATCTAATCTTAGGGATATGGTTGTGTCAAAGGCGATTGGTCCGATCATCTATGTGTCGCAATCACATTTGCTATCATGTGAATTCCCTCCCCCATAAATCAGATTTTTTTTTATTAGGTACCATTCAATTAGGATATTTATTCTTTGATTAGATCTAAGATAAATAATTCAGATAGAAAAATAAGTGCTCGAGTTGATTTTGATTGATATGATTTTTTTTTTATATTGTATATGTCTCGATCGACTCATATGTTATATTTTTAATATCGGACTGTTATCAATAACAATTGATATTTTAGATGTCCAAGAAGACAAAATCTCAAACGAGTCTTTTCCTCAAAAAATAAAAATATAAAAAAAATTACATCTAAAAAGATATCTCGTTGAGGATCTTATAGTCAAATAAGGAGAGAAACTATTATTCTAGGCACTATTATGATAAATAAAAAAAAATAAAATTTTCTTTTGTACGGAAGATGCAAAATACATTATAAGTCAGAAATTAGTGTTAGACTTTATTTAACTTATGATGTGTCTTTACTTCATCAATTACATTAGTTTTGAAAATAAGAACAGATGAGAAGTAGAGTCTAGCTTCTTTTATGTATAAATTCATAACACATGCATATTATCAAATAAATAAGCAAGGAGAATATCATGGATATAGTATATGCAAAAGTATAGGAGATATAGTGTCTGCAAAAACTTCGACGAGAACATCAAATAAATAAGTGGGGGAGAATATCATGGATAATTAAAGTTTGACATATTAAAGTTTGACAAGTAGTTGAAAGGTGAGGGAGATGCGCTATGCTTAAAGCAAATTATTAAAAATTTAACGAAAGTAAGGAGATGTAGTATCTATAAAGGCTTTGATGAGAACGTCAAATAAATAAATGGGGGAGAATATCATGGATAATTATTAGACTTGGCTTATTTTTTAAATTTGTGTGTATAAATACTTTTCAAAATTTTAAAATACAAATGGATAAAATTATTTTAAAATAAATTTTATTTTATTTATTTTAATTTTGAATCCTTTTGATAGGCCAAGTGATAGAATATTAGATTTTTATAGTCGTAATTAATTGATTAAAATATATTAAGATTTTAATTGAATTTTGATTAAGATTATCGATAAATAAAAATGAAGTCCACTTATGTTAAAATACTTTAGAAGGTTACCACCATGGGAAGAACTCTTTTTATTACCTTTCTTAGATCATTTGCCTTTATCTATATATAAGTAGAACCTTTTAGAAATCATATCATCATAGAGATTTCTTCTCTGATAGATCCTTATTCCATCAATTACAATCGTCCTGAAAAAAAGAAAGAGAAAAAAAAGAGAATTTTTTTTCCCCACACATTTAGGACACATGTAGATCATCACGGCATATTGTTTCATGACATTTAAGATCATGTTTAAAAAATATGCAACACTTATCTTTGATATGCAATATTTGATTTCAATCATGATATAAAATTTTATTTCTTATTATTAGTTCATCAAAAAAAAATATTGGCTTTAGTTTTGATCTCTGTGTGAAGGTAGCTGAGGGAAGTCACTCATGTAATCAATATTTACAGTTTGTTAAATCACCAGTATCCAAGAAACTAAATGGCAATACAAAACCATCTGAGGTTATATAACCCTTTGAATATAGTGTCAGTCTCCTGTTTTCTTGACAAGTGACTCTTTGTTTCCATGGTCTTAAAATTTAGTGCCTCCTTCCTACATTACCCAAACATGAACTGTAGCTGATGATATTATGCATGTAAAATTCAGAACACTCAAAGTAAACATATGTCATCAATCTCCACAGTGATCAACACTAGCAACAGAATAACCTTCACTGAGAACCACAACCTAAGAACATATAAGATGGCAGAAGTTATCCACATTTTGTAGTGAAAAGAGCTATCATGACCATATTCAGCTCAGCTGGTCTCAGTAGGTAGCAGATTTTTAGAGTTGATGTAGATGCAACAAGGGAAAGAATGCAACAAGGGGACAAACAAAGAACAACTAGATGTGTGGCACTGAATGGTTCTCTCCTCCTCACTCAATTGCCACCACACATCTCAGAGCCTCATATCAGACAAGAATTCTCTTGCATAGAGATCCACTCAGGATCTTGTCCCTGCTAGGTTTTGGTTGCAGTGGCAGTGTCTTCTTCTTCTTCTTCTGTAGCACATCAAAGTTTGGGCATGAAAGATTGAACTAAGGGAAGTTTAAACCTTAGTCTACTAGAATTGTTAAGCAGTTAATATAGACACACATTTCATACTCAAATATCTGCTAATCCAAATAATTGGCCTGCAGTAATATAGTGCAAGTCAAGTAAAAAAAAGTATTTGTGGCATACTAAAGGAATATAGTCCACATGGAGAACAAGTGGAGGTGCAAACAGAACAATGACATAAAAAGGGAGAAGGTTACAAGCTTTGTTTGCACTATGGAGGTTTTGTTCCTCACTCAAAGCTCCACAAGGCAGATCCACAATGGATATTGAGAGGTGGTTCCTTCCTCTGTAGTCCATGTCTTCAAACATCACCACACCTTCCTGCCTACACCTCTCTTTAAGGGGTTGGGACAGAAGACTGAGACACACACAAATATATACTTGTTATGTTGTCAGATCATGAAGGTTAAACTAGTTCAACTGAACTATTTTGACCCTTCTTAACTTGGTAGTGTTTTTGCATGACTCTTTTTTTTCCACTCAAAGGAAGAGTTTGACCAAACAGCTGATCTAAATCTTTATTATTGACTATTGGCTTCTTTTGTTGGCAATAATATTAACCAAGTCTGTATATTAGTACCATATTTGGTGCACAAATCAGAAGTGCTCCATCTCAATCACCCCATAGACTTTAGTTAGGTGACTTTTTTGTCTGATACAGAGCTATTCTGTGGTTCTGATCTCTTGTGAGAAAAGATTCTTTGTGCTGATATCAAGGCAACTCATTGTACCAAGCATCAAATTTCTGTTTCCTGTATAGCCTGAGCTTCTGCTGGAAACCAGAAAGTTCTAACAATTGATGATGTGCCACATGGTTGGTTTCTTGCCATCAAAATTAATTTTGTGGAAACTAGTCCAATATGATGCAATGCTCAGGCAAGGTGCCAGTCATTGTCAGCTACACTTGAAATGCAAAATTACTTGAATGAACTCAGTCACACTTCGATAATTTAGCTATCTTGCATGTGCAGAATTACTTGAATGCTCATGCATGTATTTTCATGTAATTTAGTTATCTTTCTTGTAATGTTAAAATAAGATGCTTTAAGAAGACAGGGCTTTGATAACCATCAGATTTAACTACAAAGAGGCAGTTTTACATACTACACAGAGCTATAGCAGACACTGTTGGAATGGTGGGAGAGTCAACAGCCAATGATCTTTTCCAAACTCTTCATCTGGTCATGACTTGGCAGCATAAATAGAAGATAAGAGGCTCCTCAAAGTTTCTTGAACTGGTTGAGGCCATCTCTTCATTGTCTTTGAGGACCTTATTCAACCTGGTGTTGAACATAAAGTATAATTAGCTCTCAGTCTCTATTCCATCGAAAATGACATAGTAATTTAAATGAGGTACAAATTAATAAGAATTAACTTAGCATTTCCCCAAGATGACCACCCCAGAAGTGCTCATGTAATGCAACTAGGAACTTATGGATGAAGATGATATCAAGCCTTACAGATATATACCAAGTGTAAGCACCGTAAAATATGGAGTGGTTCAAAAACTGCAAGATTGAGTCAATGTGGAGTTTACAGTTACTAAGGCAGAATTTATAGTCCATGCATCAGTCTTCAGAAAAGGAGAAGCTAGTCTGACAAGGGACCTAGAAGAAGCATTGTTGCAAATGCTCAATGAACCATTAGTAGGGTACTCTCATAGGTCAGTCTTCAGATTTATGGATGGTTTGGAATGCGAGATATCATGACAAGATTGGACTAAAGAATCCTCCCCTACGGTAATCAAATATTATTGGTAGCCCATTTGTATTTAATTAGACTCACAATAATCAAGAAAAGATTTCTACCTTTGGAAAATTTATTTTGCCACAACGAGAAAGAAAAGCAACACTCAGAACTCCTGGCATCTAAGTTTCATTTGCACTGATCTTGTTGAGCTTTGTGATTTTTGCCATGCAATTGTCGGTAGGTCGAGGATGAGGCAAGTATCGCACCCGGCAGTGTGGGTCTTTTCTTGTGAGCCTGCAGGTGAGCAAATTATGAGTCGGATACTACATTCTTAAAAGCAGGAAATATTTTACTACTAAAATTAATATCAAAGTTCTTTGATAATGCTTCAAGCAGTGATAAACAACTTTTGCAATGACAACCACTTTGAACTAGAAAAGTAGGAAAACTCAGTTTATTATTTTATGCAGACAAATCATATTAAAAGAACTTACTGATAACCAAGTACGAAATAGTGCAGGAATACAGAGATCTCTAGTTTGGCTAGCTCATTTCCAGGGCATAACCTGCTCCCTAATCCAAAAGGAAGAAAAGATCCTGCTTTCGGTGTAAAATGCTGGAGCAATTAAAAGTCATAAGTATAGCTCTACAAGCTAATAAAGAAACAAATTACAAATGCAGAACCAATAGTAAGCTCTACTTACATCCCACCTAGATGGATTGAAATTCGTAGGATCAGGATAAATATGAGGATCCAAGTTAACACTTCTGTACCAAAGCTGAACTTTCCAACCCTTGGGTATAAGGTAACCTGCAATTTGTCAATTAATATCGAATTTATATCAGACACATTTTTTACCAAGAATTTAGGATCATTGCTGCCTTCTGGTAAATCAGATACCAACCATTGACGTATGTGTCTTCTGTTGCTTGCCGGAAGGACACAAAGGCGATGTTAACTATACGTAATGTCTCATCAATAACCTTCACAAAAACGAAATAGGTTGTCAGTGCCAATAAACCGCCAGAGTGGGACTCCAACTTAATATGAAGAGTAGCTTAAGCTCCCATTATTGGTACTAAAAAAAGGATAATTCCATGATTAGAAGCTAACACACCTTTGAAAGATACTCCATCTTTCTGATCTCCTTCATTGTTAGCCCCTTTTGAGTAGGTGGTATACTTCTTTGGATTTCCTCTTGCTCCAACTACAAGTTGTTCATCACTCAGGACTAGTGTTTTCATGTTCAGCTGTCAGGAAATAGGATAAAATAGGGACTTATATGATTGATATGCTACCTTTGTTTTTTCAAAAATATCTGGGTTTTCTTGTAGAAACACGGTAGCCCACATGGTGATGTGCCCAGAAGATTCATGGCCAGCATTGAGGTACATTATTAGTACATCAATGATCTCCTCATCATCCAATCTTCTACCTTTGTCATCTTCAACCTCCATTAGAGCATCCATCATGTCCTTGTGTGCTGGAAATAATTTTTTTCTCCTCATAGCCCTTCTTTCATCAAGGACACTTTGAAAAACTGCCACTAATTTCTTCCGAGCCTGACATGAAGGGAAACAATTTTGCACATAATATTATCTGACATCTCACTGCTTATGGCATAATAACTATATATGTTGTGAGATTAAAGCAATTTACACTTCATCATCTGTTGTATAAATTCCAGAATCAGATCAGAAAACAATGTGAATTATAGTGTTAGTTGTCCTTGCTAATTCTAGAAATTGAAAGGTAATTTCACTATGTAAGGTTGAGTAGTAGCATATCACTATGTCCATGAGACAACAGTAAAGCACAATAAAAGTCATGAAATGCCAATAAGAAATGATGATGGTCATTCAGATGAATATACTAACAGCATGGATGTTTCAAATAAGGCTCTATAAGAATAATGCCTCAGGTTACTTCTTAACAACATCTAGCCTGAGCAACAAGTAAGAACTGGAATTTTTTAAATATTATTAAAAAATAAAATTTATTTTCAGAAAAAATAAATTGAGTATATGTCATCGACAACATATATACAAAAGACAGGCAGGTATACCTTCAATGCTCTGTGGTAAGCAAATCCAGGGATGTTGATAGCCATTGCTCTTATTCCATAGTTCAGATCAGTGTATACTTTTTCCAATGACTCCATTACAGCCTCATTCTCTGAGCTCAGAAATATTTTCATGATAATTCTGAATGTAAACCTCCGTAGTTCTGTAAGAAATTCTATTTGTCCCATGCTTGCCCACCTTTCTAATGTGGATATTACAGTATTTTCTATAAACTGGAGATATGTATTGAGTGCTTCATAACCATTGACAGGATTTGCCGTGAGCCGTCTAAGTCGTTTGTGTTCTGCTTGAGTGATGCCTATGAATGACTTCTTGCCAATGAGCTCATTAGTTGCTTTAGGCCAGCCAGGTGCAAAGTGATCATCATCCATCAAGACTTGCTTGCAGCTTTCAGGCACTGTGACCATGATCGTTGGGCTCCCAAACATGAAGGCCTTGTATATTCCGATCCGTCCATATCTGCATCAAGATTGAAGGATTATTGTTTTGCTTCTCCAAATTTTTGTTTGAAACCAAAAGGAATATATATATATATATGTATATACGTATATATATATGTATATATATATATATGTATATATATATACATATATATATATATGTATATACATATATATATGTATATATG